AGAAAAAAAAATGGGATGCAAGGAAAATACTAAGACATTTTGAAAGGACTGATTCCTGCAGTGTCATTCACAAGCTTATTTCTGTCCCTACAGCTTTTAGTTTTTAAGGGTGAGTGCAGAAATGCTGTCACTGGCTGTGAAGCGTAGCTATTTCTTCAGGAAAGAAAGCAGCTCTGAATCCAATTGGCTTCTGCTTTTGATACTGTGTGTTGCTAGGGCCTTTCTTTGATCCAGCAATTGTGGGTGGTCACTTCTTCACTGCCGTTTTCAGCCTGTAGCAAGATACTGTAGGCAGAAAATGTTCAGTAAACCTTGAAACAATTGCCAGACTGATAAGCCTGTCAGGCTAGAAAAGCCTTCATGGAAAGATATCCAGCTTGGTTTCTGTTTATGCAGTGTTTATGTTCTTTTCACTTAGAAAATACAATTTTATCAGAATCCGAATGAGAGGTTTGTGCCGCACATGCCTGACCAGTCGAAAACCAAAAAATGCAATTTCCCCCCATCAAAGAAAGTGTCTGCTCTTCAGCTGTGTGTGTTTTGCTTGTGATGAGATGCTGAATTACCCCCAGAGCTCAGGGGAGAGGTGCTGGTAGAGCAGGCTTCACACTCGTGTGTTCCTCCTCGGCTATTCTGAGCTTCATTAGCAGCAGCCACAGGGATGTTGCACATCCCTTGTAAAAGGCGAGMTGAAACTTTCTTTAAGCAGGCATTTTTTTCCAAGGTCACCAGTGTCTTGCAGCTACCTGTATAGCTGTTTTATAATATTCTGAAAGGATGCTATTCTTCCAATAAACCTAAGCAAAATTCAAGATGTGTCACTTTCAAATGTGTTGCTGGTGTTTCTTCTTTCACTAAGAGTATTTTTTTCCAGCTGTTTGCCAGTTGCAAATATAGTCAGTTTCCCTTTCAGGTAAGAGATGGGGGAAATATCTTCGGTGCTTGGTTGAATTTGGTTGCATCATGTATTTCAATTGAATTTCCTCTGGGCTTCACTCAGAGCGGGGGGAGAAAAAAAAGGAAATGTGTCAGGGATATTTTTGGCATGAAGGGCATGCGTGCAAGATTTGTTTTGAAAATACGCCTCTGCTTTCCGCTTGTCTGATCATGCCACTGCATGCAGCATCATACAAGCCCATAAGGCTTGAAGGGGCCAAATCAGGGTAATGCAATGTGGCATTCCGTATGTCTTACTCCGTGGAAATAGGTCAAGTTTGAAAGCGTGTTCTTGGCTGGCCCTTCCATTTCCCACCGCTGGCTCCACGTGACTCGCGTGTTGTGCTTGAATTTAGAGTGTGTCACGAAGGATTCCAGGCAGCTTCACAGAGACGGGCCTTTTTTTGTAAAAAGGCTAATAATATATATATTTTTTCCACTGCTCTGACTTACGATAATGGATTCATGGCCACAAAACATGTTCAGAAGTGTGTATTTTACTGATTTGCACTGTCATTTTCCCTTTGGAAACTGTACTATAAAAACCCTGCAATCAGTGAATCTTCCCTGAGGATGAAATATTTCATTTTAAAGTGCTGGAAATAGTAGTTTTCCTTTCTCAATGAGAATACTCAAAAAAGAAAATGGACAGCTCTGAACTTACAGAAGATCAAGTAGGTAGCAGTCTAAGCTTTTCTTACAATCAGGAGTGTGAAAACTTTGGGTATTTGTGATTGTAGTATGTGAAATTCTTTTCGATAAGGATTATAATTTTTGTTGTGGATTTTATTCCAGTTGCACTTGAAGATTCTGCCACCACAAAGAGTCATCTTCAGGGAATGTTCTGAGTCAGTGGGGGTTCAGCCTTGGGACAAGGTCAGGCTGCACGATAGAAACTTTGATCAGGAGTAGTAGCTTTGTGTTGTCGTTGGCCTTTACCCAGGCAATTCAATATTTCTGGAAATGGAGCTGACCGGAGTGGCACTGTGCTCAAGGAGGACCCGTTTGCCACTAGAAAGTGACCTCAAGTAGATGCTGACAGTTGGACTCATAGCTAGTTGAGTGGAACCAGATCTCACTTTATGAGTGAGTAATTCTGCTTATTTCAGCCGGAGGGAGAGGCCTTCCGGGAAGTCGGAAGAGCGCTGAGCGGACCAAGACCAGCCGCACAGGCAACCATGGTGGTTTGTTACCAAGATACATCATTATAAAACTATCAAAGTCTTCTATGCTGGTATTTTACAGAGCATTAGAGAGGGAAGGCAACTGTGACTAGTCCACTTGCAGGCCCTTACTTCTTGCTGCATGCAGATTGTCATTGTCTTGGCATGAAGATGGCTTTCTTCCCTTCCTCTCCTCCTAAAGCCATGAGTGATCATCCCTTTCATGTATTTTGGGCCGATCAGAACAAGAAACCATGGAAACCCTGGCTCTATTGGGAGCCTGGAGACCATCTCGAACTGGTTTGCCCAAACAGAGATTCATCCAGATGCTCTGCTGATGTAGCAGCCTCTCTTCTAACTGGCTCTTTTCCCTAATTTCCAGCAGCTCTTGTGTGACCTTAACAGAAATTGCTCTGTGCAGTGAGAGGTTCTTAGCACTGAAGAGTGTGTGAAATCACTGGTAGCAGAAACTTCCTCTGGTCTGGCCCCCATGGATCTTAAAGGTGAAGATGAACTGTGTAGTTCTACCTAGGATGTAAAATAGTAATGGTGAAGTAGCACATGGACATGTCTGCGTAGCTGTCGGTGCAGTCCATGGGAGATTACTGGTAGATGATATACCTATAGGTAGGTATATACTGGTATATACCCAATACTGTACACTGGAGGAGCCCTCCTAAACTGCCTTGAGAGCTCCTGGGTGTTCCACAGGACCTCTGCATGGTGTCTGAAACCATCTGCAGTTTGGTGTGAGTTTGTTGTGCAGCGGCACCTGCTGATGCTTCAGGGTAATTATTCTTAAAATTTGTTTTCAGGATCTTAAAGTCTCCATTGGGAGGGTCTTTGAAAAGGTTGGCTTTTCATGACGTTTTTTTTGTAGTCCTACTGAAGACACTGCTTTCTGACACATGGGTAATGTTGGCAATTGTTTTGTGAATTTATCTGAGCTAGGTTAATTGCTGTTTATTTTTATCTCTGCTTTTCTTTTAGCTAGGATGTCCCAGCAAACACAAGAAGAATCAAGTTGGAACTTGATTATCTCCTTGCTTTGGAAAAGTTTTAAATTGCTTATCATTTTACCTGTTTTGATGGGGAAAACAGTTCATTGGCCACAGATGACTACAGCCTTAGAGACTTTCTGAAATTACATTTGTTTTGAATTATGGAGGGATGTTCAAAAGCAGGTTTATAGTAACACAAGTAACACAGGTTTATAGTAACACAAGGCTCAAGCCAGAGGTGGCTCTGGTCCCAAGCAATAATATTTTTCATTTTGGCTGTGAGTTGCTGCAGTTAGACAAAACAATTACTCCGGCTTAATAAATAACCATAATTCTTTAATTGTTTTAAACTGCAGATGAAAAGGGAACAGTAAGCCAAAAATTGATGTTTGTGAACATGATTACTCTTCAGTTTTCAATCCCTGCTCCTTCCTCAGAAGAAGGGGAGAAGAGGTGCCCTGTAAAGGGCCCATTTGCTGCCACCCACCGCAAGGTGATGGATCCACCGCGAGCAGAAGTGGACGGGAGGCCTGCCCCAGGCGTGGACTGAAAATAGGAAACGCTTATTGGAACTAAATTATCTTGCCATTTTTATTTTTAGGTTTGCTGGCATGGGTAATCTCATTAAGGTGCTAACCAGGGACATAGACCACAATGCAGCACATTTTTTCTTGGATTTTGAAAGTAAGTCTGTTAGCCCTTCACAGCTGGTGCATTTAAAATGGTGACGAGGTTTGCTTATACCTGCTGCAGTGAAGGCGAGGGGGACTCGGTTGCAAATCTGAAATTTGAGAAAGGGTTGCATGTGTGGGTGTGTTTTATGATTTTTTTTTAATTCTCAAGTAGTAGCCAAGCCACCATCGTTCTACTACATAAATTTTATTTTCTCGTGCTTAGTCATTTTGGGTCTCTGTGATTAGTGATGTCTGCTCATCTGCCTGCAAATCAAGTAATCATAAAATGAAGAATTGTGTCACTAGGGTAGTCTGTGCTGAGCAGTTGTTCACTCTAACACTGTCCTACATGAGTGAGTACTGAACCGTGCCTGATCCTGGTTTCTTTATCCATGCTTCACCTAACATGTATTTTGACATCCAAAAGTCCAAAAAGGAACTGAGCCTCACAAATGTTCTAGGCATCTTGTGTAAAAGATCCGTGGCTACTTAAGGTAGCGTTTGAGACGCTGCGTCCTGATCCAGCTTCCTCTGATGGCTTTCTGACAAAATGACCATGGTTTTTATTTAAAAAAAAAAAAAAAAGAGCTCTTTGCTTGTGTTGTCCCATCAAGTTAACATGTTTAGCACGGCTGCGTGCCGGCGCGCTCACAAGGAGGACGCGTAGCCCTGCGCGTGGTTCCTCTGCTCAGGACATGCCAGCGCGAAGCTGGCCGCCCTGCTCCGAGGGGCGGCCCCAGAAATGCTCGCACGTGGGTCGCCCCTTGGAGGAGAGCTGCGTGGAGCTGCCACCATCACCAGCTGCGTGTCCCCCGGTGGCGATGGGAACCCGCGCACTGCCCTCCTGCTTCACGGAGCTGCCTCAGGGAACCCTGGGCCCTGGCTCCTGCCTCAGGGAACCTGGGCACGGGCTCCTACCTCACGGAGCTGCCTCAGGGAACCCTGGGCCCTGGCTCCTGCCTCAGGGAACCTGGGCACGGGCTCCTACCTCACGGAGCCGCCTCACGGAGCCCTGGGCCCTGGCTCCTGCCTCAGGGAACCTGGGCACAGGCTGCTGCCTGATGGAGCCACCTCACGGAGCCCAGGAACTGCCCTTCTGCCTCATGGAGCCACCTCAGGGATCCAGGGCGCCCCTCGGCTCTCCCCTCGCCACCTCATTCAACTCCAATTGGGCTGTTCCTCCTTGTAAAGGGAAATTCTCTTCTCTCTCATTCTTGTCTTGGCAGGTACCTTAACATGGGGAACCTTCTTAAAGTTTTGACATGCACAGACCTTGAGCAGGGGCCAAATTTTTTCCTTGATTTTGAAAGTGAGAAGATGATTTTATATATCTATTATTCTTTGCCTGCCGTAGACTGCATTTGTCATGTACTAAATGTATGTTTTCACTTTGCCATTCTTCTAACAGCTTTGCATGCTTGAGCTATGAATAGTTCAGTGAGTGCTTGTGGAAAATCATCTGCTTTAAAATAACTATAGTTTCTAAAAATGCCGAGTCTTTGTTTCAGGCAGAGCTTTCAGATTACATTTAATTTATGGAGTCTGATACGGTTCTCATTTGAAGCCAGAAAACTTCAAAAAGAATTTGAATTACTGAAGACCTATTAAAATTGCAAGGCGTTATGCATCATTAAGGACTGAACACGGAACCTAATTCTAATTTGTGCACTTCTAGTGTGCTACTATGTGCTGAATAGTACTGAAAATACCCACTGGCTTACTAAAGCTGTTCATAGCTCTCTATCATCATCTTGTTAAAGATAGATATGTGCAGCTTGTTTGATTTGGCTTTGAAATTTGGCGGTGAACCTCATAGCTTCTTAAAGGGGGGTGCGCTGGGGGCAAAATATACATAGCCCAAATTGCTTTTGAAGAGAAGAAACGCTTGTCTGATCAATGCCAAGCGTTCTGGAAGTTTCACATATTACTATTTCTGCTTTTGTTTTTGTTGCATGATATAATAGAGCCTAAGAATGGCAGGTAAGTGTGGATGGCTGTTGCTGTGCATGCTTTGTTACTCTGTTTTTGGATATGCTATTGCTTTACCCAGCTGTGCACCAGCAAGTGTTAAATATGTAAACTAATATCCAAGTGATTTTTACCCATGAAATAAGATGCAATGGAATAGTGTAACAAAATTAAAAAAAAAAATTGAATATTGATAATTTGCGATGCATTGTATTTTTTTAATTCCAAACTTGTGTCTGGTGAAACAGTGGCAATTGGTTATATTAGCTCTAATACAAAAGAGAGTGCTTGGAGAATTAGACTTACGTTTTAATGACCTTTAAGATTTTGAAGCTCTTGTCCTCTTCTATTGACTGTCAGCTGTATTTTTCAAATATGGTGTTCCTGCAAGGCAGTGACATGGTACACGAAACAAATTAGTTGTAAAAGGAGCATATTCAAGTCCCTAGTTCAAAAATCAGAAAGCAAAACTATCTAAAAACAATTTACATCTTGCATATAACACTGTCAGAACAGATGTAACTTAGTGACTTAGGAAGAACTGATTTGGGAGAATGCTGGAGTTGTGTATCTTAAATTGCCTTACAAATACCAGGCCATTTAATAGGACTAAATTCCATTCAAGTTAGCTGGATGCAAGAGGCATACTTCTAAAAATCAATTGCAATAATTGTTGATTTTTTTTTATTTTATTGATTCTTTAGCTGTCAGCTTTTTTTAAAGTGCATGTTTGGAGCATGAACAAGATTTGGCATGAGAGTAAGCAGGTTGCTGACATGAAGCGTTCATATATGCACTCAAACGAAATTACTGATATTATGGCTGACTTGTTAGACTGTTCTTTATTCCTTCTGAGCTCTGTTCTGCATTTGTTTCTGCTGCTATACTGTGTATCCCTGCTTCTTTCAACTCTGTTTCAGATAGTTTACCTTGACAGAATCTTGGCTTTGACAGTCAAGATCTTTCCTCAAGACTTGGCACTTAACTTTGTGATTTTCAATGTTACGTTTTTATGTGGATAAGCAAATAAACTCTATATTAAAAACAAATTTGCCAGTGCAACGTTATGCCTGGCCCAGTAATATGCAATTTTAAATCTTCTCTTTTGTAAATCCATACAGTTCTTTAGTGTGAGCCTGCTTATTGTAAGATTCTTGCACAATACATAGTCAAAATCTAATCTCCATAAAGCTTTATAGAGATAGAGACACTGAATGCAGAAAATGTTTAAAACAAGTTCCTAATATTTTCAGGTATTCTTTTATGGCCTTAGATTCCGGTGATTTTTATGTTAAGTATTGTCAGAATACTTCCAAAAATGTTTTGATAAATGGTGCAGTGGGCCATTTTCCTCACCTTAATGCTGGAGTCATTTATGTTTTCCTCAGTTTTTACTTAGCTAGTTCAAACAAATAGCTGGCTTAAATTTTCTGCTGATGTCTGTACAATACCACTTATAACCAGAGGAAAGTGCTCAGCTTTATAAGAACATTATTATTAAATGTCAAATGAGCACATAAAACTTGAAAGACTTGCAATCAACATTGGTGCCATTACTGTGATAGTGTAGATGCTTTCCCAATTCATGAGCAGTAGCTAAAATGCAGAGGACTTCTGGTTGCAAGTGCTCATTTCCAGCTAGCCATGTTCTGCAGTGCCTCAAAGACCCCATTTCAGAACAACCACGGTGACAGTGCTCTATAATAACAAACCTAAAGATAGTTAAACTCCTTAATCTGTAGCAGGCTGGATTTTTTTGGCCCCAACCAGTTTTAGACGACTGGATGTGTTCTTCCCTGGAAAAAAAAAATAGTGATGTAAATAGTGTTTGCTGTGCAGAATAAACTTTTAGTTCCCAATTTCTGTCTCTACTAGTTTTGTACCTATCCAGATTTTTTTGTCACTAAGCCTGTGTTCCTGGCATGCAGTGTCTTCTCATACCTTTGTAATACTTAGTTCACCTAACAGTACTTGTGTATTGTTTCAAGCCTACTCTTTTGTCTTTAATACGTTATCRTGTGAGCTTTCCCACCTCCAGATATATGTCGTATCCAGTACAGTCCCATTCAATTTAAAATCCATTGAAGGAACGAAGTAAAACAGTGAAACATTCCTCACTTCTGTGAAAGTACCTCAGCCTTCCCTTAGTACTGTATTGAATACAGGAAAGCTGGCTTAAATAGTTGGGGTTTGGCCCCCATGGCAACAGTATCATACCTCTGAACATGTGAGCTGTGCTGTGCTTGCTCTTTGTATTTTGCATGTCTATGTGTTTTATTTTTGTTGATGGGAAATGTTGCCAGGTAAATACAAAGCTGCAATAGGAACTTGCCCTCGTGTAAGGAGCAGGGAGGGACTCATGCCTGAAATCACAGGCATCCTTTGTCCTGCCCTTGGAATGCCTGGCATTGCTAGTGGCTCTTCCTTGGTTGTCAAAATGAATTTGCTGATCGTGGCACACTCCCTTCTTCCCGGCCCTTACTTTGAGGGAAAGGAGCTCCAGATGCAGTGGTTCATAAATGACAGTCCTCAAGCCTARATGCCTAAATACAGATATGGGAATGTACCTCCATCTACTCAAGTTTCCAGCACAKCTTGGAAAGAGGAGTTGTTCCCTTTTTCTCTTTGGTGGGCTTCAAGAATACAGTGCCCTAAACCAGCACAGAGAAGCAAATAGCCTGTAATGAGGCTTAGACACTTCCTACATCATCTTATAAATCCATCCTGGATGGATTGTGAAGTGAACCTAGAAAGAATGTTAGACATTCTTTAAAAGAAAAAAGGGAAAAAAATGCATTTGCTTTCCTAATTTGTGTTCTCTGCTAGATTGAAAAAACAATAAAAAAAACTAACCCTTATGAACATAGAAGAATTACAGATAGGAGAAGAACATAACTGGGGCAAATCAGATTTACAGTTTCAACTGAAGATTAGTTGCAACCAAAATGAAATTCATATCAAAGAAATAATCTGAATGCTCACTGAATTTTGAAAGAGACATATTTGGAAAATTTTTATAATGTCTTTTTTTTTAAAAAAAGAGTAAACTATTGCTTAAGATTTCCAGAAACACTTTAGTCAAAATAATTAGCTGACTACATCCTAAGCAAAATAGGCTATCAGAGGTGAAGGGGTTGACCTGCATGGCCAGCCATTCTGCCACAGTTCATATCTGAAAACTGGTTTTCATTTTTAAACATGAGTGCAATTATATCTGTTTTGCTTGCCTGTGGGTTTTGGAATCAAGAGTACCAGGAGGAATATTCAGGGACCCTTCTGCTGTCCCCAACCATGCTTGAAAAACGAGCCCCCCTTAGTAGAGAGAGCGAAGGAAAAAGGACTTGAAAAATTCAAGAGGCAGGAGATGTGCTTGGCGTGTGAGACAATCCAAGTGGCAAGTCTTGATTGCATTATTTAACAGCACAATCTGGAATGCTACAGAGCTTCACGTTTTATTCTGTATTCCACTATAGCATTTCATGTTTGTGCATGAACTGCTGCCAGTCAACTGGTGCCTACCTGTCTGCTGTCTTCCCTCATGTTTTTTTGTCTTCATTTCTTACAGCAGTCTTCAGCAGCTTTCAAAATTATAAATGTGACTCTTGTGATGGTCTAAAAAGCATTGGCCACTTTTACTCGATGCCTAATCAGTGTGGTGCTCTTAGCCTTTTTTTTTAGGAGAGAAGCTTTTCACACTGAAACGTGTGAAAACCAACCTTGAGAAGCATCGGTGATGGTTCTCAAAATAACTCAGTTAAACTGTTAAAACTGTTGCAAGGTCTATATAAGCATATTTGCTACTAGTGCCCACCATCTATGCATTAAACCAGGAAAAAATATGTATTATGCAAAAGAAATTACTGCGAAATCCAGACCAACAACGCATGTGAAATTTCTGTTTTCTCCTGACACAGATTTTGTTTCATAATATTTTTCTAGTGTGTAACACTAGGATATTGTCTTGATTTCTCATACATACCCAACTTCCATCACCCTTACTGAGAGTAATACACATACGGATAAAAAAAAAAAAAAAAATAAAAAAAGTACTTGATTTAAAAAAAACAGACCTTTTAAACTGCACAAAATCATGAGAATAGATTGTCCACAGATGACTTTCTTTTTTTAAAAAAGGCTTTTTGTTAATATTCTGATTTTCATAACTTATTTTGCCGGTGTAAATGGAGGAAGCTTTTTTGAGAGTTTTCCAATAGTGACCATTATCCTACTAAATTTCTTTTAGATTGAGGTAAAAGGAACTACCTCATTAAGTTTTCATTAAGTTTTTAATATTTTTTATRTATTTTTTAAAACTGATTTACTGTCAGGCAAATCTGGTTCAAGATACTTGTATAAGTGATTATTTTTAAATKTTATTACTGTTTCTTGGATGAATTTTTTTCCTCAAAACATACTTTCTTTTTGTGAATGACAGTTGTTTGAACAGGTATGTGCAACTTTATGAAGTGATGTTCAGTACCCTTCTGATGAGTATTTAGCATGTTAAGAAAGACATGGAGGTGCCAGATCTTTCTGTTCCAAACTCTGGTTTTGCAATTAGTGCAATAAAGAACATGCTTCGAGAACTAAATTTATTTAGAAGTAGAGAGATTTAGTTCCATTCCCAAGCTTTCAGTTGGAAGGCAAGGGAGAAATAAAGTAATTAAATTTAATGCAGTGACTTTAGTATAAAGATTTAGTTTAAATGAATGCCTCTTGTAAAAGGTAGTATGCCTGTAGTTGAGGATGTTTTTCAGATATTTAAGTCTTTTCCTCATCTACAAATGGGGATTGCTTATYATAGTGTAATAGAGTTAGAAAAGAAGAATTGTCAAGATTTCCTTTCCCAACTTAATTTTCAATAAATGGGGAAGGATAGATTTCAGATTGAAATTTGGAATGCTAAATAAAGCTAAAAGATTACAAAAATGCAGTGACTTTCCTGGACATACTCATGTATTATAGTAGCTCTTCAGGGGATAAAAATTCTTAATTATTTCTGGGAATAATTTTCCCTTAGGTGATGCCTATGAACTCCATGTTTGTTAAGTATGTATGTATATGTATTTATTTAATATGTTCTGCTGTTTAGATGCCCAACCTACAGAATCTGAAAAGGAAATTTATAATCAGGTGAATGTAGTATTAAAGGATGCAGAAGGAATACTGGAAGATTTGCAGTCGTATAGAGGAGCTGGCCACGAAATCCGAGAGGTGAGCAGGGGCGTTACGGTTCTGCAGAACCCAGGGCTGCCCATGTTGGGTCCTTTCCCAGCAYCATGGGGTGGTGACTTCTCTTGCAGGAACATTTTGTCTATTCAAATTAGTATCTTAAAGGGAGCTCTGCTCTGGAATATTCCATTTTACTAGAACAGATGTCACTTGTTTGAGTAATAGTAAGGCAGATCTGTAATATTAAAAGATATTCCTCAACAAGAGGAACAAGAACTGTCAAGAGTTGTTACCCTTGGGGCATTCCTTTTATTTCTGCCTAAGCCAAAGAACCTCTTTYTGAGTTGGTGGCTGATTTGGGAAGAACATGATGTGGCTACAGTCAGATGCTGAGTAGCCTGGTCTTCATTTTGCATGATAACTTGGGAAGTCCAGTGTGTGCAAGTCCTAAGACAAAAGGCTCTTTATTTTCTTACACCTTTACTTGACTTTTAGTATGTATTTAAAAGTGTTGGAAATGAAAGCCACATTTCTGCACAGCACCTCCTTCCGCTTGTCCTTTACCTTCAGGCAAGGGTGGAACGAATTCTCTCAAAAGCTCCTTCCCTTCTGCAACAGATGCAGTGTCACGGCTCTCAAAATGAGGAGGTTTTAACAAGTCCTACCAGATGAGTCTCTGCTCTCTCCAGTCATTCCACTTTTATAAGTATTCTGAGTTTTGTCTCAGTCTGTTGAATTAATATGTTTAAGAAGCAAAACTGGGTCACGCAAGACCCTCAGGATGGGAGATGCTTCATTTGGCCTTCGAGGAAGGAGCGTGTTCAGGGGGAGGCTGTAGGGTCTGGCAGGAGCGTCTGTCACTGCAGCAATCAGCAGCTCCCGTGGATAAAGAGGAGAGCCCAGGGAGGAGGAGGAGGAGGTGTAGCCAAGGCAGGGAGGAAGGAGTCTGCTCTACCCACAGCCAGGAGTTGACTGAAACAGATCCTGAATGTGAGGGCATAGCTGTGGAGATGCAGCAGGAGAGTCATTAGGAGCATTTTTATTTCTGTTTTCTTAGTACATTGAGTGTAGTCTCTTTAGTCTAACTTCTGTCTTAAACCTGCGGAGTTTGCATTTAAGACTTTGTTTTTCTGGGATTCTTACTGTAAAGGTCTAGGCAATAACAGGGTCTAGGCATTTGTACCTCAAAACTCTGGAATAGTTCAGGTCTTGATGGGGCTTGATGTTTCAACATGACATTTCAACCTGAATGTTTCTCATTTTTAGCCCGAATCTATAATTGAATGTATTTGATCTTTCTTCTTAATTAGAGAAATTGGTGGCAGGTAACAATGTTAGAACTGACCTTTTTGACGCATAAACAGTTTTGCTCAGAGATGCCCCAGTAAAGTCATCGATTTAAATTAATGTGATTATGTAACTTTTGTTATTTTGAGTAGCTTTATTTTAGCAGTTTCTTTTCTCTGTCAAATTGTTTGTCAATTCAAGATACTTAAGTTCAATACAAGCATTCTAGCTTTTGGAGTAGTCTTCAATTAGAGCAGGTTGTGTCTCAACTGGGAGCATTTCAGTAGGTAAAACTGCAGATAATAGAGGACCTTGTACTTCTCTTGAGAGGGAATAACCACTTTTGTTACTTTCTTCAAGCAGTCATTCTAGGTAGATTTTCAATAAAGTCACAGACGTGGTTAATCTAAGCATACTTTTAATTCTTGTCCTTCCTCCTGTTTTTTTTAACATTTAAGGCAATACAGCATCCCAATGATGAGAAGCTGCAAGAGAAGGCATGGGGTGCAGTTGTTCCACTAGTAGGCAAACTAAAGAAATTCTATGAATTTTCTCAAAGACTAGGTAAGTTGAGTGCTATTTCTTTATCTTTTCCCTCCCCACCCACCTCTGCATAATCAGACATGGATCACATCTAGGTCTGCCACTTGTTAGTAGAGAAAAACTTTATTTTGCAGGTTCTTTTCAGGCACTGGATTTAAGATCCTATATTTACAAGCCTCATTGCTTGTGAAAGCGATTTGTTTCAATAGGAGCCTGAGATGAGAGGGAGTAGACTTGTGGTTGTCTTTCCTGTTGATCAAGTAGCTGTGCAGAGCACTAACCAGCTGACTGCATCGAAAGTTGCTAGACTTGAAGTCATTGAGTATGATTTTATGTGCAAAAATTTTTCTAATACAGTATTTAAAAATAACTGGCTTATTCTTTGTGAGCTCTGGGAATTCCCTGCTCTGTGGAAATGCCTGAGCTTGCTCCATGCAGGTTCAGTACTGCCCTTCACACCTTTTACAACCGCAGCTTGACTGTGTCCAGGCTGATGAATCATATTTGACTTCATTTGATTCTTCACAAACTCTTTGCTGTAATGTAACTTCTAGGGAGTATTAGTAGCTTAGCTCATGAAGATGATGAATTTGCTGTCCAAAAAGTAGCTTTTCCAGGAGTTTTCCTTCTGTAGATGAAGAATTGAGGTACTTTCCTCAAGGGTAAGAAACTGGATTCTCAATTTATCTTAAATAAAGTGCTACTTTGCTCCTGCAGGTAGGTATATGTCTCTTAAAATTTTCTCTCATTGTCTTGAAGAGTTTGCAGTCCATTAATACAGGTTATTGAAGTATATTTTAAACATTGCAGGCAAAGATTTGAATAAAGCTTTGCCTTACGGCAGTTTGTAAGTAAATGTAGTAACAGTGACATGAAGAAGCAATTTATCAAGCCCTGTTTTTCATTATTAATTACCATTTGTTTGGCAGATAGGTGTTTTAAATCTAGCGTGCACAGTAGCAGTGCACACAGATAGGAGAAGCAGGAGCAATTGTGTATTGAAAACCAGTCTCCTCTTGTTTAAGAGGCGGGATTGCGAGGTCTTCTGGGAGCCTTGACCAGCACTCCGTATTCACCAACGCAACACCTGGAGCGAGAGCAGGCTCTTGCTAAGCAGTTTGCAGAAATTCTTCACTTTACACTCAGATTTGATGAGCTTAAGGTAAGAACTCAGCACAATTCGTAAGCCCAAAGACCAGGAGAAAGAAAATAGGGCTGTTCCCTGAGGCAGTGTGGGCTCTGTCTTGTCCCACAGCAGGACATGCATCAGATATGCAGATCCCTACTATGCTAAGCCACCTACTTCACAACCTGGAGCTAGATTAAAATGAAATGGAGATGAAATATCATATTAGCTTTATGCACTTGATATATTTCAATTAATATTAATCATGCTTCTTCAGCTGAATTCAGTGTATCTCTTGAGGTAAAGCTGCTGTATTACATCCATAGTCCAGCTGATTTTCTGGCTAATGTACAAAGAGACAAATGGAAGTGATACTGATATGCTGGTCTAATCCACACAGTCAAACTGGCCAAACCTTTTTTTAACTACTAATCTCAAACTTGATTAGAAGAAATATTTTTTTTTGTTCTTGTATAAATATTCAGAGTAAAATCTAAGAAGGCCTTATATTTTAGGTATCTCACGTCACATTTTCTCATGGGCCTTTTTATTTCAGAAGACTGAATATGTTCTTATATTTGAATTTTGTGAAAACTTGTCTTTAGATTTATTTTTGTTTTGCTTTTACACCTATATAGATGACAAATCCTGCTATACAGAATGACTTCAGCTACTACAGAAGAACTTTGAGCCGTATGAGGATTAACAATGTCCCAGTAGGTAACCCTTAGATGACACAAAATGTAATCTTATGTGACTACGTATATCTTTTTGTGCACAGAATTACTGTTTCTCTTTATTTTTGCTTAATAGGCAGAGGGAGAAAATGAAGTAAATAATGAGCTGGCAAACAGAATGTCTTTATTTTACGCTGAAGCAACGCCGATGTTGAAAACCTTAAGCGATGCCACAACGAAGTTTGTGTCAGAGGTAAGAATATTAAATGCAGGCTCTTTTCTGCGGGGTAGGACATCATTTTTAAAGGGGAGGAAAGAAAAAAAAAAAGAATTCTTCTGGATTTTTGAGCTTTAAGAAACATGAAGTGTCTTTCCTGAATGCTACAGGGGTGAGAATAACCTCARCTAGCCACCTTGTGGATGTGTGGTGCAGTTAACATTGCAACACTGCCTCCCTCCAGAAGGAAATGAGAGGGGATACGGTGGAAGTGCCTGTGTTTTGGTGGTAGTTTGGATCATATTTGTGTCTCAGAACGCTGAAAGGGAAACAACAAGGTTTTCTGTGCTTGATGTAAGGAAAGAAATTGAAATGCAGCTTCCTTCTCTCCTTTTCAAGAGGCTTTTGAGGTGTTCCTTTGTAACTCATAATATTGCAGTGCATCTATAGAAATTTCTATCTTTAAGGCCAAATTAGATTTTTCTTTAAAACTCTTCCAAAAGTCAATAAAATTCATAGTGCGTTCCTTTGATTAAAATCAAATAAGCAAAAAACACCCATACAGCAGACTTCAGTAGCGTGGATGTGGCTCTTAAGCCACTGCTTCTTATCGTAACACTTAAAATTAGTCCCATGTTAATAACTTACCACAGTTGTAATGGTATTTTTAATTGCTCCCCATTGGCTTGCCATCCAATCATTGGTTTCATTTAGATTTTGTAGCCTAATCTTATAATTAACTCGGAACCTGCTTATCTCCTCCTGCAGAATAAAAATTTACCAATAGAGAATACTACAGACTGTTTAAGCACCATGGCTAGTGTGTGCAGGGTCATGCTGGAAACTCCGTGAGTATGAAAAGTGTTTGTCCTATCTCTAATATATTTAAGATGTAACTTGTGATGCATAAGGTGAAAGAAACATAGACTGGGAAACTAGGAAGAGTGGTGTTTGTTTTTTTACCAACTTAGTTGTTACCCTTGACATGGGACGTTGTCTTTTTTTTTTGCTAGCCCTGCAAATCATGCAGTCAGCTTTTCTGAGCAAATTAATATTTAAAAGCAGGATGGCTCTGAAAGCTAGACGGCCTCTTGGCACTTTTTACAAATGGCTTTCTCATCCATAATTCAGGAAAATATGCTCTTAGAGCACGATTGCCTAGAGCCTCCTGAAAGAGGGGTTCTGGGCAATGCAGGGAATGGTACCACCTGCGAGTGTGGCTGCCACCAAATTATAGTGTCCCTGTCTGGGGAGTTATGAAGTGGCTTTAGGCACGAAGACAGTGTTTTGACCACTGTAAATCTGTGAAGTTCTGGGAGTATAGACAAGGTCAAATTATTGTTTTTTTTTTTTCTGTTTCTTCTGGGATCTATATATTTTGCCATTAATCAAGCTATTTAAGCATGAGGTATAAAGTCTAATTTAAAGTTTCAGACTGATTGCCCCAGTACATTTGTTCTGGAGCTTCTTTATACTCTTACTAGGTCTATCCCATTTAAGAAAGTAGTTGGAGAGAAAAAGATAAGCACTGAAAGCAAAATTAATGTGTCTTGATAAAGAAGTCAAAGTTAAAAATAGTATCTGAAATCATGTTACAGCTAGTGCTGTTGAGCTGACACTTTTTCTTTGTTAACCTCCAGTWAATTCTTTTGAAGGAGCTGATTGACTGCTGTGGTCAGATTATTAATAGGGAAAAGAAAAGCCTCAAAACTTTCTTTCCTCCAAGGATTTATGGCAAGATTTCTCTCTTTGATTTTCTTTTCTCTTTACAAATGAGCACTCTCATCTTGCATTTGTTAGATGATGCTGTTTTTTTCATTTCCAGCGAATATAGAAGCAGGTTTACAAATGAGGACACAGTATCGTTCTGTCTGAGGGTAATGGTGGGTGTCATCATACTCTATGACCACGTGCATCCGGTGGGCGCTTTTGCCAAAACTTCAAAAATTGATGTGAGTTTATTGTTACTACACAATCTTCTTAGAATTTAAATTGCATATAGGCTGCTTTTCTTTTCTCCAAGTGCGAATAACAGATGTATACTTTGGATTGATACTATAAATGGATGATATTTACAATCAGCATACCATATATATACATACTAAGAATTGCAGGGTAGACCTTCCAATGCATAAATGATTTTTAAGATCTGAAAAGTCTGTTTTTATGTARTCCTGCTAGTGTCTTGAAATGTTTGTTAGTATACATAATAATAGTTTTGAAAAGTCAAAATTAGAATGTCTGGAAATGCAAGTGGAATTCAGCTTATTCCTTTCACTAGTTTCATTGTCCTCCAGATAGTTTGCAAATCTTTTAAGTTTCTGCTGCTAATGATCATGRTAATCATCTAGAGAATATGTGCTGTTAACAATTGCAGTTTAATGGCTGTTTTGAACTAACAGTTATCCCATTTTGTTAGTTTGTCATTATTTCCCTGGCTGAATGTAATTGTTCACAATGGATTTATAATAAAGAATTTGGTTATTTTTTTAAGACTGGTACAGCAGTTTGACATCCGTGTTGTTTTGCCTGTAGATATGCAGCATCCTAAGCAGTTAAGCCCTTCTCTTGTATGGAGATGTCAGAATACTGATAGCTTCCTTTCCAGTATCAAGAAGCTGTCTTTACACTGCTGCAGTTCTTAAGCCTATTTTCTTTGAGTCTGAGAAGCTGAATATAAAACACTTCTGTAAGGTCATATGGTATTTGTGTTTTCAAAAGTTTTCTCTTTTTCTTTTTTTTTAAATGCTAGATGAAAGGATGCATCAAAGTTCTTAAAGACCAGCCTCCTAACAGCGTAGAAGGCCTTCTAAATGCTCTCAGGTATTCTTTATTCTTTTACTGGAAATAATCTAATTGAATTTGCAGAMATTGTCCACGGCCTTTGCTTCAGGTATAAGGAGTTCAGATGTTTTAATGGATAAAATCTGTAATTGTTTTGCAAGGTTTTCTCCTCATGTGTGGACACACATGAAGAAGCTACTGAGCTCTAAAAGAGAGGTTACAAACTTGCAGTTTTTACCCAAAGAGAATGTTTTGTAAATTTTAACTGCCTGTAGGATRAGTGTGCAGGAGTAGTTGTGACTGAATAGCTGTTCCAACTAAAGTAAGAACTGATGACAAAGTAAAATACGTATTAGAGATTAACTAGGGTGCAAATCTCTCTGTTTTTGTGATCACATCTATTGAGACTGAATTGCTAAAGAAGCTGCAGTGTGCACCCTGTGCTTTCCTGCCTTAGAAATGGCTGGGTTAGTTTCTACTGGCTATAACTAAAAACTTACTTTCAAGCTATTTGAGAGTTACCTGAAGCAACAGAATCTCAGTGGATATCCAAGACAAGAAGATAACACAGATTGGAGATGTTATAAAAATGAATAATTCTCTTACAGAAACATAAAAACTCCTAATTGAATCATATAGCTCTATCTAGTTAGTGACCTGCTCTATATAAAATCAGTATTCAATGTCAGAGAAGTGGCAGAAAGTGCTTTGGTGGGCAGATGAAGGCTTCTTTCTTATCCTTACTTGAGAAAAACATCATACCACTTTGGTAATGTTGGATTATACCTGGGTATTGTTGTTCATTCACTTCGGAGCACAGAAACTCTGGAGTGCAGTTATGCTTTCCTTTCCTGATCGGTAGTGAAACTGCTTTGATTTCATTTCCCCGTTTTCTGTCTTGTGGTAAGTGAAATAATACATTGTTTTATACCAGGTTTCACTTGGAAACTTATTTCAGATTTTTAGCAGACAAAGCAGACAAAATATATATATGTTTRAGATGATAATCTGAGAATTTATATGGGTGTTTCTGTAGATGAATCATTTTACTGCTCTTCTCAGACCCTCCTTCAAGTCAACAATTCTATGAGATGGTGTTCAGTGAAAGAAAAACRGTTTTAACATTTATTTTTTTACTAACTTATTCTGAACGTAGTTGGATGGATCTTCATTCTTTCCTCTCATAGTTGGTGCTGTTCACGAAGAATATGGAAAATTGCAGTTCATGTTCTTGCTCTGTTGTGTGTTATTTTGTAGTTTGTGGCATGAGTTTTAGTCTGTGCTCTCATGCTGATCCTTCAGTAACCCATTTCGTACTTCTTTTTTATCTTGGCAATCCTGACATTTCATATAATTGACTCTTGCTTGGTTATGATACTTAAAACTGTTAAAAATCAAATTTGGAATTGCTAGCAAGAGCTGCAGAAGTGGGAGAATTTGAGAATTTTTGCATGGATGGCAGAGAGGTTCAAGATGATGTAATGAGAAATTAAGTTCAAAGCTGAGTCTTTGGCTATGGATGAGTGCTGGAAGTTCTCATRTTCTCTCAAGGGATACATAATCTGCCTTAAAAGCAGAAGGTGGTACAGATTTGGAGGGAGATCAGCTGTTTATAATTTGAAATTCATACAGATATTTTAATCATGTTCAGCTTTTTCACATGGGCGAAGTACYAAATGCAATGGCTTTTCTAGGTTTTTGAGAACATTAGGCCTCTTGTGGAAAGTACAAATACCAAAAAAACTCTATATAAATATACCTTGTGCCACATGCTGTAGGTGACCCTGYGAGTGTAGGGAGGTTGGACTAGATGACCTCTGAGGTCCCTTCCAACCTTAAGCATTCTATGATTCTATTAATATCAATTCGAAATAGAATACAAGAAATATATTCTTTTAAGTAGCTATTGTATATTTTTGTAGTGAACAAATAATATCACTGCAGTTGCAAATCTAAAAACTAAATTAACATGATACATTTAATTAAAAGAATACATTTTTTATTTACTTGTAGTTTGCAACCTGAAGAGAAGGATCAGCAAAGAAATCACAACATCAAGGCTATACAGAACTTCCTATTTAAAAATAGATGACTAAGTGATTTGTAGTGATATAAAATACTTAACACCCCAAAAGGCTGCAGAGATATTCTAGGAGTGTAGTTACTTGTAAATAAACAGGAAATGGTGCTGAAAAAGCTGTTGACTTCATTGTCACTAAGAGGTCTTGAAAAGTTAAAGAAAAGTTCCTGAAACACTGTTCTGTTTGAAGATGGTAACATGCATTCACTGTGAAGTGGACTATGAGCATGAGAGCCAAAACCCAGCTATTCTGTGGGGTTTTTTTTAAGACTGGGGTATAGTTCCGATTAATAAAAGCATTTTCTGAAGTGTCTATCCTCTGGACTTTCTTGTGTATCAGTTGAGTGGGTGATGAACACTGCGTGAGAGTTTTATCCCATTTTAAACATGTAGCTACTTCTTTTACTGGGTCAGACTATCTGTGACAAAGTAAAACTATAATTATGTTCTTGTAAACTTGATAACTTTGTTTTYTGTTTGTTTTTAGGTACACAACAAAGCATTTGAATGATGAGACTACCTCCAAGCAAATTAAATCCATGTTGCAATAACGATTACCTGGAATTAGCACCTGCTGTAGACAGTATTCTGCAATGACTGAGATGCACAGATTTTTTTTTTAGTGATTGCAACTACTATCTCATTCATTCTTGCTTTTTTTCTCTTCTGTCTTCCTCTTTACCCTTTTTTTAATCACTTTCTTGTTCTTAAGTAAGCTCAGACTTCTTTTCTGTGCCAAATCAATGAAAATGATCAATTCTGGAAAGTATTCCACTTTCCAGAATAGCCATCCTAAGTGGCAGCTAATTATGCGTTGCATTTGGATTTCTCTGTACTGGGGAAAGATTTGTGACTTGAACTAAATATTTTTAAACTTGTGGTTTTTTCTTTTTTTGAAAAACTAATATTTAATATTGCTTCTTCTGCATGGCAAGACTGCCTACTTCTGCTATTTAAAAATACCTTGATGACTTCATTTTCTATTGCAGCTTTTCATGTGCGACCATGAGGAAACTAAAAGCAGATTTGTTTAAATTAACTGTGTTTGTACAAAATGGTACCCAACACAAAGGTTTTTTTAAATGAGTAAAAACTGTTTTGTTTAAAAGTTACGTTTGCATTTTGACTCATTTTTGTAAGGATGTATGTTGTATGTTTAACCTTTAATAACTAACGTTAAACTGTGGTGTGTGCGTAGCAAAATTACGTATGCATGTTCATGTCAAATGATTGGCTGTGGATAAGATAATAAAATCAGCTTTCATTTTTCTAAGTGTGGTTTGATTTACCAGTATTTTGAGTGAGATGTCTTCGTGCTTTTTGGATTTTTACAAAAAATAAATTTATAAATTTTATATAGTGAAAATTTTGCTGTTTCATTACCATTAACCACTAGACTCTAACCCAGTAAATCTGCACCTACCATGTTGCAAGGTTCTAGCTCTCCACTCTGTGTTGCTTTCCTGTCCTCACAAATATTACTCATATTGGGCTTTGGAGKCAGAACTTTGTTCATTCCTTATAGACCCTTCTGGATGTTGCTGAAGAACCTGCATCTTGAAGAGTCATCAGAAATGACATTCCAGGTGTAGCTGCCTGTTGGGTTCTTCCAGTGTCCATGTCTGGGAGATAAACTTCTCTCTGTGTGTTTTATCAGTGTATCCTCTTTTAAAGGCAGGTATTTTGCATTGTGTGAAAGATCTGAATTTTAGCATCTTAAGTAATGGTCTTGTGCTCATTGGCTTTTTACTGAAACAAATTCTAAGCAGTGATTGATCAATGAAGGAAAAAGCTTTTGGGGGGTTGAGAATTGAAGGAGAAAACCAGAATCAAGAAGCACTAGAAGAAACATCTTTGAAGGTGACATGGTTTTCATCAATGGGCAAGCATTAATGTGCTGCTTATTTCTCTGTGTGATTACACCAAAAATCGTAACGCTTGGGAAAGGAGATTTGAAATCTCCAGACAAGCTGGAGCACCTTGATTTATTTACTGGACAAATGTCAGTACAGAACGTTAGTTCCAAAGATAACRGTGTGACCCTCTTCAGTTTCTTGTGGACATCCATCTCATGCACCATCAGAAAAGATTCTGTCTTTCCTTGGTTGGTGGTTGTTGGGTTTTTTGTTTGTTTTTTTTTTTTTTTTCTTATAAAAAGAGGTGGTCTTAGTTTTAAATAATGAGGTTTAAGGAAGGCTTTGAAGAAGGCCTTCCTTAAAAGCACTGGCCACTGGTCCACTTGCTTGTTCTTCACAAGATGGTGTTTCCTTCTGTAATGTGTAACTGGAAGTTTGATCTGAAGTGAGAAGTTCAGATCATCTGAGGTTATTGATGTTGCCCTAGACATTTGGGGGGGGGATTGTTCCGTGTTTTTGTTTTGCTTTTTGCTTTTTTCCTTCTCTCAAGGGTGCATAGTAATGATACAAGCTAGGAAGAAAGGAAATCATGTGCTGTGCTGTCTGCAGCAATAAAATTTAATCCCTGTACTTATTGCAAGGAATCCTGTTACTTAAACCTTGTACTTCTSTCTAGTTTTGGCAGTGTCATAGATGAATGCAACTGGGAAAGGACAAACATGCTCTAAGGGACCCTGCATGTACAGGTTGGACTAGATGATCTCTAAAGGTTCCTTCCAACTTTAAAGATGCTATGATTTGTTTTAAAAAAATCTTTTTGTTCTACTTAATGTTAAAAATATAATTCTGAAAAACTACTTAATGTTCTGTGCATATTTGAAAGATTAACTGACTTCCTGTACTCATTACCCACAGAAAAAAAATTAGTTTTCTCTCAGCTTTGCCGGGGTAAATACCACTGAATAAAAGGCAGAGGAGAGGCAGTGATTTTCCTCCAGAAAGCTATATTTTTAGGAAATAAAGCTTTCTGGAGGAAATATATTTTGCAGAGTACCCATTTTAAGCAAAATTTGGGTCTTTGTAAGCTTTTATTTCAGATCTCCTTTAAAGAAAGCTAGAAACAGTAGATGGAGGAGGGTGCCATTCCTGAAGAACTGGAAGGATCTGAGTTTCTTCACTTGCTAAAGCAATCCAGCACTTCCTATATTGATTCAGGTGAACTCTTGGGTTCTTCTTTGCCAATAGTTTTGTTTTTAAGCATGGATCTTTCTGTAGCCTGAGACAAATGAGGGCATTTCTTTTCTTTCCTGTGGGGCCCCGTGGCCTGTGGGGCCTGCTCGTGCTTTCTACCTCGGCTGCCCTGGGCTTGCTGCCTGCTTGCCTCCTCTGAGGAACCCCCTTTGTACTCTCCATCTCCCTGGTTTGGTCCTTCAGCCTGCTGTGGTGAACAGYGCCTGTGCTTTTTAAAACTTGACAGACAAAATACGCAGTCTGCAGAAATGTCTGTCCTAAAATATCTCTTGTGTGTTGGCTGCTGCTTAAAACCTCCATGAGCATTTCAGATTGCCARAAGCAATGCCTATTTGCTAATCATGTCATTATACCAGATCATTTTAATCCCTAASGCTGGGCTGAAGGCTCTGCCTTGGTCTTGCAGTGTGTGCTGGCCACTGGTCATGGGTCTTCAAAAGGGAGCAGTGAAGCAAGAAGTCTAGGGATTCCAGTATAAAGTTCATGCTCTCCATTCACGTGCAACTTGTGTAATGTGCTGTCATCCCTTGGGATAATCAGGACAGGGTCATTGCATCCAATTCAGTGCCATGGACCTGCAACACTGCTTTGCTTTCCCTTACTTCAGCACTAATGGTCTCTTCAGTTCTATTCTATCCGCCTGCTTTATTAAACTGTTAAGCAATCAGGGTGTCTGGGCAAACTTAGTACTTCCATGAAAAGTTGAGACACAAGAAGGTGGTACTTGATGATCAAATCCAAAGAATGAAAATCTGACACTATTTTGAATCTGTAGGAGCAGCACTATGTTCTGCTGCACTGTTGTCACAGTTAGAGTAAGTGGGTGAGACTTCAACTAATCTTTGGATTTTTTAACTTGCGTGGGGGAGAGGTAAAGTTACCTTGTACTATACAAGTCTTAGACAAAGTGACAGCTTTATTCTTGTAGTTATTTTGCTGTTAAATCCCTAATATAGTGGCAGTCCAGTAGCAAAAGTTACATGGGCTTTGTATGTTAGGAGTTTAGCAGTAGGAATGAGTGGGAGTGGTGGTGGGGAGCAGAGCTGGGTCTGTGCTGAAGCTCTGCTCCTAGCACGTGGRTGTGCAGGAGGGAGGATGGACAATGAATTTTCTTGCTCTGTTTTGTTGCACATTATTAGATATTTTATAGACTCTGGTTGGTAAAATGGCTTTGCCATGTAAAGTCAAGATACTCAAGGGTGTATATTTAAAAACCACAAGAATTAACTACGAATGCTTTAGAACAGGCTTTTAGTTTTAGGACTGCTCTCCTCAGTTTTGTTCTTGGTTCTCTGTTATCTGGACCAATTTCTTCTCAACATGCTGTCGCTACACATCTAGACAGGGATCTATCTCATGGGGTTATAAACCTGAAAAAGTAAACACTATCCTTCCTCTTATTCAACCGATTATATCTGAAAATGTTCTCTAATCTCTTGAGATGTGGAACAGACTCCAAAGATTTTGTTTCATTCTGCAGCAACCCTATGAGGACCTGTCTGATGCACAACCTCAATGCAACCTCTCTAAGTGTAAAAGAACACTTAAAATTATTTTCTATCTGGATTTGAGTAAGGCTTTTGACACTGTCCCTCACAGCATCTTCCTGGGCAAGCTCCGAAGGTGTGGGATAGATGTGTGGACGGGGAGGTGGATTAGGAATTGGCT